TTCCAGGAAACAGGAGCGGATATATATATATATATATATATATAGATTGTTATTTAAGAGTTTTATTGATACTTGTTGGTTAGTTCCTGAGAATTTTTGCTAAATTTAAATGACCACATTTAAACGTAAAATATCTGCACCACAGAATAAAACGTGGGTAGTACTCAGACTGACCAGCAGGTGGCAGTGTTGTACAACTCACTTTATGCTTCATTCAAACCACAGCTAATAATTTTTTTGAGTCATAACCCAATAAATCAAATGTTTTTATTTTTTTATATATTCCTTTTTGTTCTTTGTGTTTTTCTTGCAGGACTGTTTTGATTTAGACTGAAATAATTAAATGCAAGTTATCTGATGGGTATGACTAATTTCTGAAGCTTTAATTTAACCACAATTCATGACTTCCTCTGACTCAGGGTGTGACCTTATTTTCACAAGAATCCTGACTCGAGAAGAGTTAAAACTGTTGCCTGATCATCAAGTTGATTTTTTGCAGTCACCGCCTGAATAAAGAGGAAGAACTGGAGAACAACATGACAGGAAATAAGTGTCATGTGAGTTTTTCTTCAGAAATAACTTCGTTAGGATTTATCACGTGCAGTTTTTATTAAATCTGTCATCAACGGCGTCGGACAACATCCCACTGTGGAACAAGTGTTTTTTATAAATAAGTTTACTTACACAATAACTGAAGGCTAAGTTTGGAGTTCCACCTGAAGACAGATGTTTTAAATCAAATACTTTTCTTTTCTAAAAGTATCCAATAAGAGGATTTCAAGCCTAATTTTTTCTGGATTTACTGAAACAAAAACAAAAAAAACTGCCTTTTTCTCACAATAATGACGTGTTTGCTTGTAAGATAAAAACACGAGAGACATTGGAGCGCTGGGGTGATATTAAATAAAAACAGGAAATCAAATTAAAAGCTACAAGCAGAGGTAATAACTTCAAATCATCTTCTAGAACGATCATAATCAAAATTAAATTGTAACTCTTGTGATAAACATCTTTTCTCTGCACATTTTTATTTTATTTGTTTTGGTGAATATTTTGCTACTGTTGTGTGTTTTTTTTTTTAAAGTTTTGTCTTAATTTATTAAACATTTTGTAAAATTCAAAAACACTTTTGTATTGTTTCAAGTTTGTTTCCTTCATGGGTTTTTGTATTTTTTACAGTTCCCTTGTGAAAATAAAACATTAGTGTGATTTATGCACCATTTTATGTATTTTCCGACTTATGAGCTCTTCTAAATGTTTTAAATATTCACTGTCCCGTATATTGGCTCTCTTGATCATCACCTGCGAAGGCAAATCATTATGTTTCTCTCATGTTTGTTAGCAAAATATCTCATGGATGTATTTTAACGAATCTTTCATGAAGTCATCATTTGATTGACGTCTACAACTGATTAATTTTTGGTGTAAACACCATTCAAAATGGCCGCTTTGGCCAGCTGACATTCCAAAAAAATGATACAGTTCAGTTGATTTTACACCCATCAAGCTCCAATTATCCAATTTAGTGCGTTTGTAGTTGTAATTAACTCACAACACATTTCAAGTGCTGCTCATTGAACACGGTCTTGTTGTAAAATTTGAGCTCTGTTTGTCTGTCAGCAAAATAACTCACGTTCCATTGGACAAAGAAAGACTCATTGATGCAGTCATTGATTGATCGATTTGGGGTCATACCAGTTCAAGATGGCCACCACAGCTAATCGACACCAGTCAGCGCAAAACTAGCTCAGCCAGTTTAATGGATGTCACGCTGATGTTTGGTGTGGTAGTAGCTGAGAGTCATCCCCATCACGGGCAGCACCACATCTCACACGAGAGTGCTCATAACGGTATGAGTCCTGCTGTCCTGGAGTCAAGTGTGACCCCAGGACAGCAGGAGGGTTAACACAACATGATCTAAATCTCTCAAATGAAAGGTGGCGGGTGATATGCATTCATGCTGGATTTGGTCAAAACTTCTAAGAGCCACTGAAGAGGGACCGAAGAACCGCATGTGGCCCCAGAGCCGCAGGTTGCAGACCCCTGCCTTAAAATTAAATAAAATTTTGTTTTGTACCCACAACAAAAGAGGCTAGTATTAACACATTTCCTGCCAATTTTCTGCAACTATGTAAATAATTCTAATACTAGGAGAGAAACTTTATTTGACCAACGTCCAGCCTTAAAGTGGGATCTTCTTCCTTTAAGACAAGTTGCTTCAAACACTTACAGTGGTTTGATACCAGTGAGAATTAGGAAAAAAAAAAACAATTAAATAAAAAAGTAATTGTTTTTAAATTTGGAAAAAAATCAGTAAGTCACAATTACGTATCCAACAAACAGGCCTAATATTCATACTCACTTTCACCTAATGCAGGGGTGCCCAAACTTTTTCTCTGAAGGGGCCAAATTTAAATCTATCAGAGGGCTGTGGGCCAAATGCAATAATATAATACATGAAATGCAAATAATTCTTTAAGTAAAGTCCATTTATTTATTATACAGTTATTTAACCTTCCCTTCTGTATAAAGAACATTACAGAACAGGCTGCGTTGGTGGTGGTGGGGGTCCGGGGGTCCTCCCCCAGAGAATTTTGAATAAAGTAGATGCCATTTCCTGTATTTTGGTGTATTTTACACAGGTTTATTACAGTAGATTAACATGAAACAAAAGATGTAAAGTGTTTATGAATGAGCTATCTCTGACTGCGAGCGTTCATGCAACACGGCTGCAGCTCTGCAGGTACAGGTGTTCCCTTCAGGACAAATTGAGGTCGTTGACTGGTCAGTTGCTGACGTGCCTACTGGACTGACTGACAGGTGGCGTGACTCGTGCAGACATTTTTAGACTTGACTGGCCCGTTTGAGACTCTTGTCATTTATTCCATATTTTTTCAACATTTATTCAATATTTTGGTGAATCTAAGGTTTGAGAACTGTTTCCTTACAAAATCCTAATGATGGTTTCTTAATTTTTCAGAGATTCTGAGTTAAAATTTAGGGGCTCAAGAAGGGCACCTACACGATGCTCAGCTTTGTCAAAGGAAATGTTATTCAGCAGCAAGAAACTGCCGAGAGTCAGTATAAAGTCTGTCAAAATAACTTTCCAACTAACATTAAACTTGTAATGGCTGAGTGTAAACACGTTGATTCTTCAAAGGAAATTTTAATATAGTAATAAGGACAGCTTGGCGGGCCAAATCAAATGGCTTGGCGTGGGCCCCCTGACCTAATGCTTTATTACTTCAAATTATTTTTCCACAAATAAAAGACAGACTCACGTACTTGTGTTTAATTTTTTTTTAAAATAAAAATAATAATTATAATGATTTACTTTTCCTTCTTTGTATAAAAATAGCCTTTTATTTTATCCTAAAAAGTAAAAATATCAATACCACCACTGACTGGAACCCCACTTCGTGGCCCATGGACCACCACTTGATAACCCCAGTTGTAGCACGCTTTGCATAGTTTTATCAGAGTCAGAGTCAGAGTTTCTTTATTGTCATTCGCACCTCATGTGGTACATGTGGTGGAGCGAAATTATGTACACGGGGTCCCAGTTACATCCAACAATAAAATGTATAAGAAAAACAGTAATAACATCCAAGATATGAACTAAGAAAAACATCAACTAAATATACACTAAGCACTCATAACATAAAACATTGAACATCAGCACAAACATGAACATGAGTCTGTGAGCAGATGTGCACGCATGAACACATCAACATTGAAACAGATCAGCAGCAACATGAAACAGATCAGCAGCAACATGATATGGTTTTTCACAGTGATTATTCTAGTTAGAGATTCATGAGTCTAACAGCCTCAGGGTAGAAGCTGTTCCTCAGTCTAGTGGTTCTACACTTAATGCTCCTTAACCTCCTTCCTGAGGGGAGTGGGGCAAAAAGTGTGTGTGCTGGGTGAGTGAGGTCCTTCATGATGCAGGTGGTCCTCTTCCTGCATCTGGAGGTGTAGATGTCTGTGATGGTGGGGAGACTGACTCCAACAGATTTCTGTGCAGCCTTCACCACTCTCTGCAAAGCTTTTCTTTCTGCAGCTGTGCAGCCTCCATGCCACACGTTGATGCTGGAGCACAGGATGCTCTCCACTGCACACCTGTAGAAGGAGGTGAGGACTGAGCTTCCCAGACCAGCTCGTCTCAGCCGTCTGAGGAAGTAGAGTCTCTGATGAGCTTTCTTGATCAGGCTGGTGGTGTTGTTGCTCCAGCTGAGGTTGTCATCCATGTGTACACCCAAGTACTTGTAGCTGGAGACCACTTCCACCGCAGATCCTCTTATGTTCAGGGGGGTGTAAATGTTTTTGTTCCTTCTGAAGTCCACAATCATCTCCTTAGTCTTCTTCACATTGATGTGAAGGTTATTCTCTCTGCACCAGCTCTCCAGGTGTTCCACCTCTTGCCTGTAGCTGGACTCATCATTGTTTGTGATGCATCCCACCACCGCTGTATCATCTGCAAACTTTACAATGTGACAGCCTGGATGGGTAGATGCACAATCATACGTGAGCAGAGTAAACAGGAGGGGGCTCAACACACATCCCTGAGGAGAGCCAGTGCTGAGGGTTATGGTGGAGGAGGAGAGGTTGTGGATCCTCACTAACTGTGGTCTGTTTGTTAAAAAGTCTAGTACCCAGTTGCAGATGGAGGGGTTTAGTCCTAGTGTGGATAGTTTGTCCATCAGGGTTTGGGGGATCATGGTGTTGAAGGCGGATATATATGTATTTTTTAACATTTATGTCATTTAAAACACATTTTTCACATTTAATTTGCCTGATTAAAAAAAAAAAAAATAGTGGGCGTGTTTTAAAAAGTGACACGTGACGGAGTGTTTGAGTGTAAAACCGACAGCAGGCTTGTTTTGCCTCGTGCGCGTTCACGAGACGTACACAACTCTGTTCCCTGGATACGACGACTTCACTTACCGACGGTTCGAGTGCCGAAAAACGGAAAGTGGCGCTTTCTTTTGCCGCACGACGTCTCAGAGCGGCCCCTGAGCGGCGGAGGACGGCGTGTTGGGGTTACTTGTTTGTTTTCGAGCCGCAGCTCAACTTGTAAAAACTTCACAGACGGAGCTAGCGCGAGCGCCCGAGTTCAGCTAGCATGCTAACGGACTAGCCGAGCTCACGGACCCGCGCCCCCCTCCTCCCGGTTCTGTCGGCAACTCGGAACCGACCCGGTTCGTGACAATGGGAGGACCAGGCGGCTCTGAAGGCAAGTACAACACAACCAGCCTGAAATGCACGCGCTAATTACGTCATAATTAATCTAAGAGGGCTGAATTAATTTGAGGCGCATTTCCCTCAAAGTTAATTTAAACGGGAAGAGGGTGACGGCGTGCTCGTGCGGTGCGTCAAATCATTCGTTGCGCACGAACAGCCGGTGTCCGTAACAGAGAAATGACTGGCGCATGTGTTTTCCGGCGTGGTGCGTTCACGGTCACTGTAAGTGAACATCCGCTTTCATTGGACCAGAATGCCAGTTCCTCCTCTCACTCATGTCAGTGCGTGTGTCTCTCCTCAGAGCTCCGTGCACGGAGGGAGCCCCTCGAACCGTAGGAACCGGCCGGAAACGTCCACCGGGAGATGATACGGCACATGTCCAGTGATACTGGAGGAAACCTGAAGCTCTGCGACGTTTGAGTGTTTGCGTGTGCGCGCCTGCATGGCGGAGTTCGGGGAGGACGGCAGGCTGCCGCCGCTGAATCATTTCGGGGGCTCGGCCGAGCCCAGCGACGAGGCTGCGGGCAAGACGCGCCGCGAAGTGTCGGTCCTGAACGGAGACTGCGGGACACCGGAGGACATCATGGTGGTCACACCTGGCAACCACGCAGCGGAAAACGCCTCGCTCGAACCGGATGCCAAATCTGAACTCCCACGCAGGAGCAGCATCATTAAGGTAATCCACTGAAGTTCTGCTCTGGTTCTTGACACGCAATCTGCTGCACATCTACACTGAAAACACGGGTGGGTGTGGGGGCTTTAACATCCTAAATGATCTGCTACCAGACTTGTAAGTGGGTCACCAGAAGCATAGGCGTAGCCAGGATTTTATGAGGGGCGGTTCGTTTGAAGAAAAAGTGGACCTGTAGGACTACTCTGATTGGTTCATTGGCGGTGGTACACATAACTTCAAATGTGTAAACAAGCTAATTAGCTAGCTAGTTAAAACACTGCTGTGTGAGGTAAATCTGTGTTACCAAATAGGCGGTTGTGAGTGGAGAAAGAGCAACACACTGAGAGGGGAATAGCGTGTGTGTCCAGTCTTCTATTCAGAACTCATCCCAGACACGAACGAACACTTCGGTACTCCCGAGTCCCGCCCGAACATACAAAAAAAAAAAAAAAAACACCGAAGAAGAATGAAAGACGTCATCCTCTTAAAGGCACAGTACCACTCCTTAACTCTAACAACATAAATGCAAACTAAGCCCGCAAATAATAACATTACTTCAATTGCAAAAATAACTCATCTTTTTACTTTGCTTTGTTAGACATTGTTTTTTATGAATGAAATTACTTCACCTCGCAGTTCTATATCTCGCGGGAGTTGTAGGTGGGACTTCATTGGCAAAGTGGGCGGTTCGTTCGAACCCCCCGAACCCCCCCTGGCTACGCGCATGCCAGAAGCACCCCTTGTGCAGTATGTGGAGATTGTTTTTACTGTAAATTTAGCGTAATGTGTTTATTGCAGCGTGGCTGTTCAAAGAGGCAGGATGTGATGCGGGAAACTCGCTGTGCACAGGAGGCTTGAAAGCACAATGGGCTTTGTACTGATACAGAAGTCTGAACACAGGATGTGTGATGCATGCTGAACCTTCGACCCCTGCCGGATCAGGTGTGGCTGCGGGGGACCAGTTTGTGCCGCCATAGTTAAGTGGAGACACGGAGCAGACCGTCAGTCTGCTGGGAATGTCGGGACGGGTCGGTGAAAATCTTTTGGCTTTTATCTTTTTGGAGTTTAGCGCACGGACTCTGTTCGTGTTTGCTTTAAGCGTCTGATTGGTCGTCAGGAGGACTCTGGTTTAGAGAGGACTAAAGGTCTGATCTCACTGGGCTTCGACTGGTAAAGGCTAGGCGGTGACGGAAATAAGAGACACTTGGCAAATGTTCCATTGCAGTCTTGTTGAGTGGCCTGCGGACGCTTTTTGAGAGGACAATTTTTGAAAATCACTACTTTTTTGTCGGGAACTTGGTACGGATGGTTTTCCAGGCATGTCCGACTGGGAGGACACCCTGGGGAAGACCCAGGACACGCTGAAGAGACTGTCTCTTGGCAAGCGAGGTGGCTGTGGAAAGATGTCTGGACCTCCCTGCTCTGAGACCAGACTCACAGATAAAGGATGGACTGGGCTTATTGTCGTGTGCACCGCTCGCAAAACTGTATTCTAGGTTCTGTACATTATTTTCTTGTCCACATGCGCTTATTTTTTTGCATGCACGAGTTTGCGTGTTCCTCTCGTGCTTGCGTGGTTTTTCTCCGGGTACTCCGGTTTCCTCCCACAGAACAAAAACACGTTGGGTTGCCTTCAGGTCCAGGCCTCCGTTGCAAAAGAGATCGGTGATCTCAATGGGATTTGCCTGGTTGAATAAAGGTTAATAAAATAAATATTTCATAACATTCAGCATGCTTCGTACCAATCTATACAGCCACCTCACGTTTATAATCTGGACTACGTTTTAGAATTTACGATGTTTTCTGTGTAAGCGCTCTGTTCTGGAGTCAGAAAACATCTCGAGCGGGACTGAAGGCGCCTCGTTGACTCTACTTTGAGGGAACGTTTGTGGCACGCGTTTTTGCACACGCTCAAAACTTGAGCGATAAAAGGGTTGGCCTCTGACTCGCGCACGGAAATTAAGAACCCTAAGAAAGTTTTAGACTCTTTGGAGACGCCCTCGTTAGTGCCGTCCAACAAAAAAAAAAAAAAAAAAAGGGAACAGCCGTGACCAAACCAAGAGGCTTCTTCTAATCTGTTGTAGGACAGACGCTACAAGAGATCCTTCCTGCCCACAGCCATCAGCATCTATAACAACTCTTTAATGAAACCAGGATGAAGAGTTATCACAACATATAATTTCCCTCTGGGATTAATAAAGTAATCTTTTTAAAAACCAAACACTTTTTTAATCTGTGCATGGACACAAACCGGCTCGGTACGGAACGCACAGAGCAAACCGTTCTTTAAGTCTTATGAGATTTTTACGTGCTCTTGTGATTTTTAATTTCTGCAGCGTTCTGCGCTGAATGCGGTTGTTTTAGCTGGCAGTGGTCGTGGTTTTTGTGGCGTATTGGATACAGACGGCACGAGAAGTTCTTACTGTAGTTTTGGTGTCTAAAGTATTTACAGATATGACGCGTAACGGACGGGAATGTGAGGAGGGCTGATGAACGTTTGTGGCTCCTGCTGTTCCTCCTTTTTCTGAGTTGATTCATCGTGTTGCAATGAATCAGTGACCACAGCTCCTTTAAAAGAGAAATATCACCCTTATTTGACTAATTGAATCAACTGCCAAACAGTTATTGGACCCACTGTGTTACTCTTCAATGGATATTGACAGATCATCAATGCACATCTGATTAGATGAAGTAACCTGTGTTTTGATGTTGGTCCAATTGTTTTTGATTAGTATACATGCTTTTTTTAAACATGTGTGACTACAGTAGAGGTATGGTGGATGATAAACACAATTGTTGAAGGCGTGCATATCACCTGCCGCCTTTCATGCCAGAGTTTTAGGTCTGTGTCCTTGTAATGGACTGGAGAACTGTCCACGTTGTCCCCTGACCCCTGGGGATGGATACCAGCTCCCCAGGAACCGTAAAGGGAGTTGGATACACGGATGGCTCCTCGTGATTTCTCTTCACAGCGATCTGAACCAGCAGAGTCCATTTAGAAACCTGGACAGTGTTTACATGTCACAGAATTCTGGTTTCTGTCAAACTTACTCCAGTTTGGACTCTTCTGGTTTCTCATAACAAAAGGACAACCATGTCCAGGTTTCTGAAAGAAGAACGGGATGCACGTTCACCGATCATTGTCAGAATAAAGGTTCTCACTTAAAGTCACATTGAATCAGTGCGTTTTGGTTTTGGTCCGTCGCCACTTTGCAAAAACACAGAATTTGGATGAGTTATTATTTGTCAAACGTTTGTCTCAGAAGCAAAATAAAATTATAAAAATGGATAAAATAATGATTGCACATGGATAAAAACAGGCGAAAGTTTAACCGCAGGTGTTGTGTTTAAATACACGCTTACGATGCCGCCTGCACAGTCGCACGCTGTAATTATGTAATTAAAGTAGTGAGCAACTCTGTGAACTTCTGTTTTAAAGAACAAATGATCACTAAAACACTTAAGATTAATTGGCACGCATGCACGTTTCAAAAGGATGCGAATCAACTAAACGTGCATTGAACTGACTTCATATATTGAAATGTTTTAAATGTTTTTCAGCTCATCTTATAGGTTGTATCAGTGTTGGGAATATTGCTCAAGGATAGCAAAGATGATGACACTTCCTTATATTGCGTTAGTTTACAGTATGTTGAAAGGCTCTGAAAGGGTTTTCTGTTGCCACCGTCAGCAACTATGTAATGTAAACCTCCTGCTGCTGTAGCTGTCAACCCGTCCGATGCTGCTCTGCACAAAAAAATCTCTGCAAAGTGAAAAGTTCCCTGAGTGGATTAGGAGCAGCACGTACAACACATGGGAGGAACAAAATCTGTGTTAATACCGTGTGCTTTTTAAATTTACCATTTAATCAGATGATCGAAGCTGCATAAATGACCGAGTCTGCGTGCTGTTTGCAGAAAGTACCAGTTAGTCCTAATTTAAAATCTGGAGCTACACAAATTTACAAGCGAAAGAGAAATGACCAGGATTACAGAAGCGCAAATGTAGATAAAGTGTAAATAAAATCTGGGAGCACGCAGCCAATCAAACTTATTAATCCTCAAACGCCACAATCCTCAAAGGACCATGTCCACTATTTTTCTGCTGGAGTAAAATTTATCCTCTGAAATCGGTTTAGCCGCTGCTCCATAAGGGTTCAAAAGGAAGAGGGCTTCAAACAAGACCTTGGTTCTCGGTAAACAAAAGCCCCACAAAACTCAGTTTTTGTTTACTCTGACCTAATTCAGGTCCGAATAATAAGGACGTGCTGATCAGGTGGCTCAGCTGGCAGAGCTGTTGCCTCTTCAATCGAGACCTTTCTGGGTGGAGTCTGCATGTTCTCTCTGTGCATGCGTGGGTTTTCTCCAGGTGCTCTGGTTTTTACTCCACAGACCAGAAACGTGCACAGGCGTCTGCAACCTTCACGATCAAAAGAGCCTTTTTTTTTTTTGTTCATTACATTAAATGTGTCCGGAGCCGCAACAACCTGCTACAACATATCAACTGGTGGCTCATGGGCCACTTCAGGTTTGCTGGAGGGGGCTGTTGTGGCCAGTAGGGGTGACATTATAAAGTAAAAAAAAATATCTAATGATTAAGAAAAAAAAAATTAAGAGAAAGAGGGGGAGGGGATCAGTTTTTACTTTGATTTTTTAAATAAAAAAAAACAAACTATGCAGACAATTCTTTGTATAAAGAAATAAAGCATCAAGTTAAAGTATGTTTTACTCCTTGTACTCGCTCCAGTGTTCACATATTTGCAAAAGAAAAGACAGAAAAACAGTTTGAACCATACGGGAAATCTTTTTCGTTTCGTTTAACCAATGACATTCAGTTTTTTATGTCCGCGACCCCTGTGACCCAGAAAAAAGAGTGATACTGTAATAATGCCATGAAAGTAAACAGACTCTGATGCAGCTTGAATTGATGAAACTTTACAAATGAGAGGGAGAGTGGCAGCAATTATCGTCACTTTGTTTACCGAAGAGAAACCCTCAAGTTAA